AACCCGTGACGATGTCATACGGTATGACATTGAAAAACATCACACCATATGAACATAGTGTTTACATTGTAAGACACAGATGCTGTTCACACGAACATAGAGCCGACATGTGAACATATATGAACAAATGAACATAGTGTTTACATTGCAAGACACAAATGTTGTTCACACGAGCATAGGGCCGACATGTGACATGAGTTGTGAATATGTTCATAATCGATCGTAGGTTACAAATCGGCTGGAGAATATCGGGTTCACGATGCGTGAGGATTTATTACCAAAATACCCTGTGAACAATTGTTCATAAGCARCCCAATTAATTTAATGATTAATTGATTATTTTTTAATACTCATTTAATAATGACCGTTTGACMAAKTTHCCCTTTGAACAATTGTTCATACACATATCAATTAATACATTAATTAAATTATTGTTTATTTAATCTCATTTAATAATAACCGTTTGATGATGAAATGAACGATCAAGATCGGTTCACATAGTTTGTACCATATGGTTGGTTTCTATTTGAACCATCCCATATATATATATATATATATATGTGTGTGTGTGTGTGTGTGTGTGTTAAAATTTCACTAATTAGATTTTATTAACCTTTTCAGATTATTTTAATATTAATTGTTAATAATATTATTTGTTGATAATTCTATTAACAACTAATATTTATTTATATAGACAATCTTCGAATCATTAACCAAAATACTCATGTTATCGCGCAACGCGCGGTTCTCACACTAGTTTAATAGAATTTGGAGTAAATTATAATTTTGGTCCCTGTGATTTACACGAATCTTCGAAATTGGTTCCTAAACTTCAATAACTATAATTATCATTCCTGTAGTTTACATTTTGCTTTGAGAATTCTATGGTCATTAACTCCGTTAAATTAGTCCGTTAAGTGAGGATTATATGTGTCTTTTTACGCTTTTTGTCTTTATTTCAAGGACCAAAATTGTAATTTACCTTTTTTCTTTTGTTTTGCATGGGTATAACTTATTAATACGTTACATAAAACCCTACTCGAGCCCATTTTATTTTTTTACCGTCCAAAACCTGTGTCCGAAAAGAAAATATTTTTAAGCACGGGTTTTTCGATTTGACCGTTTCGAACTCTGTCTGTAACTCACTAGAGGCCCCGAAAATAAAAAGAAGCCGTGTACAAACGAGATACGCAGCAAATGCTAAGATTACACATTGAATTTCTTGTAGTAGATCCATAATTATAGAAGTGTACGTGAGTATTGCAGAAGAAATGAAATTTTCTATTTATATATAACCACACCTATACACACACACACACACACTATATATATATATATATATATATGCCTAATCAAATGAGAACTGTTTCATTTGTGGTAACCGTAAGATCCAATCTCAACCATAAATCAAAGGTTAAATTAGAAAATTAATAAAATTAATAAAATTGGTAATGTTCACTTAAAATATTAATTAAAGGCATTTTAGAGATTTTATAAATATCCTCTCTCATCTCTCCGACGAATCTTATTCGACGAACCTTAATATTCCGATAAACCTTATGTGAATACAAGATACACATTGTGATACCTACAAACGATATTTACTGTGATACCCAGATATACATAGTTACATACAAGATGCACAATGTGATACCCTTTGTAAAACAATAAAAATAACGAAAATGCACATTATGATACGTTTCATAAAACAAAGAAAATACATTGTGATATACGTGAAACATTGTGAACGTTATCATTATGATACACTTTATTCATCAATGTCTTTAAAATACGATGTACATTATGTAATTGATATACTAGATAACCAATTTTAATCAAATATTTTCTTCTAAAAAATTTAAATAAATATTTTGATTAGTTGCAAAAAATCGAAATACTATATTACTCTTTTAGCTTATTTAAGAAACATCCTTAAATATCTCAAACGAGTGGTTCAAATTGGATCTCACGGTTACTACAAACTAATCAGTTCTCCATTTAATAATCTCCTATATATATAATGTGTGTGTATGTGTGGTTATATATTAATTGTCCTTGAGATACAAATAAAAAAAGGGTAAAAAGACACATATAACTCTCACTTAACATAGTAGTCAGGGATCAACTATAAAGCAAAATGTAAACAATAGGTATGATAATTGTAATTATTGAAATCTAATGACCACTTTCAGAGATTGGTATAAACCAAAGGACCAAACTTGTAATTTACTCTAGAATTTGAAGCTCTCATATATCTTCGAAATTTATACTAAAATAATCATCTCTGCAAGAAAACAAAGTCACAAATCCCGATACAAACGCCAAATAGTTGTTTTGGTGTTTATTTCTCCAACCCCACATAACTTTATTTAGAGTCTCTTTTAAAAAATCTACATAACATTATCCTTTTTGAAACTTCTTGAACTGGATATTTGACCAAAAAACACACTAAAATTTTGGAATTTTTTCTTCTGTGCACAAAGTTTCAGTTAGTTCATGATATATCCTGTATTAATTAACTATATTTGGTACCAACTTAACTAGTACTAATATTTTTCGTTTGTTACTGGTTTTATACCAATTTCACGTTATATATATGAAAAGTTGCCATTTTGAGTGACATTGAGCTTCTAGATAATACATGTGACGTTTAAAAGATTTTAACTGCAATGAATAGAATCTGCAGAAGTTCAAATGTTTTGGAAATAAGTGATCTCAAACTTCGCCTAGAGCCCTAGACTAATCCCATGATAAATTGTGAATGTAGGTGTCATCCATAACCCGGAGGTAAATCTCCCAGTGGCTACAAATGTATACATGGCAGGATTCGAACCCGGTTAATTTTATCATCCCCTTGACCTTACCCACCATGATACGATCCTCGTGGTTCAAACAAAACTGATAGTTAAAGTTACAATGTTTAATATTCGGGCAAATTGCATGAAAAAACAACGTACTTTAACATGATTCCTATTTTGGATAACGTACTTTCAAAACATCCATTTTGGTATCTAAGATGTAAAATTTTAAACATTTAAGTAACTGAGTAACTAGTTGAAGTATTAACCGGTTACCATGCTTCAACCAGTTACCCGAGTACTTAATTGTTTAAAATTTTATATCTTAAGTACCAAAATGGATGTTTTGAAAGTATGTTACCCAAAATAGAAATCAAGTTCAATTACGTTATTTTTTCATGCGATTTGTCCTTAATATTCAATAAGTAAAATATACAAAACTAATAAGTAGTTAAATAAGTTGGTATCATGATACTACCGTGGTACGTGACTTTCAATACTTTGTACCAATCAAGTTTAAGTATTTTATATGATACTATTAACCGACTGTAATGTTGGTACCAATTTAACTGATACAATCGATATACGCGTTGACTAATTTGACTTGATACAAAGCTACCGATTCTAGTTAATTGTCTAACAATGGGGAAAAGTTGTATATATACATATATATATATATATATATATATATTGATTAACGTGGATATCCAACCTGCTATGCGAGCCGACTAATCCCAGAACGACCACCTGCCTTACAAATAGTCCGGAGCTACCACATTTGAACCTCCGTAGCCACAAGGGAATTTTTATTTATTTATAATATATTAATATATAAAAATACAAACACTTGCTTCTCATAACGTTAGCATTTATTAGTTGACTTGTATTATTGTATTCACTACTCCAATCAATAAAAGGGTGCTGGGCGGCTGCCCATATACATGCCAAACAAACACCACTCCGACCAACAACCACCATATGGGTTTAGAGACGGGAACCAATACGACGGCCGCCGGTCATCAGCATCACAAATCTCCACCACCGGAGTCCAACAACCACCACCACCACCAGACTCCTAAACTGGTGATCATCTTTGCCATGGTAGCTTTTTCGTGTCTCTTTTTGTATCACTCTTCTCTCCCCTTACGGTTTCCCGGCATCATCGGTCACAGAAATTCGCGATCGGTAAGCATTCTGTCGTTGTCAGAAACTATGCATACGATAACCGTATGTATGTTTTATTTTCTATTGTTAATACATCGACGAAAAAATAATTGAACGAAAAAAAATATTCGGTTCGACCAATCAAAGAAGTTTGTTTTTTCTATTGAATTTATAAATTACCAATATTCAAACAAATTATTGAAACCTTTGGTTGTTTTTAAATATAATAAAAAAATATGATTATATTTTTAAGAATATTATTGTTTATAAAAAATCTTATTTACCTATTATGTCTGATTCGTTAAGAGGTAAAATCATTTAGACCGTTTGTTTTTTTTAATTTTTTAAAGACACTTATTTTTATTGTTCTTTTATCTGGTAGGAGGTAAACCAACATCTTATTTGACTCTTATTATTCTTCAAACAACAACGACATTTCTCAATTGATTAACCTTAATTGATCATTTCTCTCAATCAATCCTTAGCAAATCAATCTTCAAGTCTCTCAATTGATGTATTTTAAAATAATTTAAATGTGTTAAATACGTTAATGACATATTTTCGTTTAAATGAATGTTAATTATACTTTAGATATAAATTTTTTAATGATGATGAATAAATATGTGAAATTGTATAAATTTTATTTATAAATTCAACAATATAATTTTTTAATGGGTAATATAAACAATTTAAACAAATTCAGACGTTTATCGGTTTACAAAAACAAACATTCTTATTTATCCAGATTTCAGACATAGCACCACCTCTTATAAATCAGAAGTAAAATAAGACTTCAGACTTCAGCACCTCTTACAAAACAAACGTCAATTAAGAGTAAATTGGTCGGTTGGATATTAAAAATATCTCCAACAGTTATGCTATTTTATAAATTTCAAAGATTTAAGAAAAATTTGCTATAACAGTAGAGCTAAATTCTCCTCTAAAATAGAGATAAAAGGAGAGAGTACGGCGAAATCGCCAAATTTAAAAGAAGAGACAGAAAACCTATAACATATATGTTGGAGATGCTATAATGTGTTTTTTAATTCTAATTTGTTTTTTTATTCTTTATTAGGACAACAAAATCGGGGAATTGAAAACCATACTCAAAAAGGCGGCAATAAATAATAATACGATTGTAATAACTGCTATAAACGATGCTTGGGCGGAACCAAATTCTATGTTTGATCTGCTTCTTGAGAGCTTCCAAATAGGGAATCAAACACAGAGGTTTCTAAATCATTTGGTTGTCATAGCCTTGGATCAAAAAGCATATGCTCGTTGCTTGAAGTTACATCCGCATTGTTACAACCTCAATACTGATGGGGTGGATTTCTCCGAGGAAGCGTATTTTATGGCTGCGGATTATTTGAAAATGATGTGGAGAAGAATCGATTTCCTACGTACCGTTCTAGAATTAGGGTATGACTTCCTCTTCACGGTACTATTTTCTCTTGCACCCTTTATCTATACTAAGCATTTGACAAAAACTATTAAAGATCATCTTTTATACATTAAGTACTGCTTATTGATGCATGTTACTTAAAATTCAAGATTACAAGTAAATAGTGCATAAGTACAACTTATTAAGTTCCATTTTTGAATTCGTGTAACTAACTGTAGATAAATATAATCAAATAAAGATTAAAATTCTCATTTTAAATATATCTAAAATATAATTAGAATAATTATTGAGTTCTAACAGAATACTTTAGTTATTATCTTTATAGAAATTATATTATTAAAGCAAAAACAAATTACTTCGTCATTAAACCTAAATTAAATTATAATTAAAAAAATAGAATTAAAGAAATTACATAAAAATGAGAATATTTATATATACATATATTTTAATTTATATGATATCTTCAAATTTATATTTTAAAAAAAACATTATTGTTTGCTCAAAACCACACAAATCCATATTATAATATCGACAGAGACCAAAAAAAACAAAACAAAACATCAACATCGAGATATATTTCGCTGCATTGCGTGAGTACCCTTCTAGTTATTAATAAAGGCAATATAGATAAAAAAGAACTCTATTTTTATACATTTTTTTATTTATACAGATAAAATAGTCTTTTATTACATATTTATAATTTTATAATCAAATCAGTTACATAATTTTCGTTTACTTTCAATCAAATTAACCATCATAAATCATTAATAACAGTTAAAATGATAACTCCTTTTATGAAAATATAAATCTTTTGTTAATAAATTTTTTATGTAAATGAAGGATGCAGACATAATGTGGTTTAGGGATCCATTTCCACACTTCCATGAAGATGGTGATTTCCAAATTGCTTGTGATTACTTTAGAGGGAACCCATTTGACCTCAACAATCTCCCAAATGGAGGTTTCACTTATGTAAAGTCAAACGTCAGGACAATCCAGTTTTACAAGTACTGGTTCGATTCAAGATTGAATTATACAGGTCTACATGATCAAGACGTGTTCAATAAGATCAAGTTCGATCCCTTCATTAGTCACATAAGGATACGGATCCGGTTTCTTGATACGTCGTTTTTCGGTGGATTTTGTGAGCCAAGCAGGGATTTCGACAAGGTATGCACCATGCATGCCAATTGCTGTGTTGGGTTAGAGAACAAGGTTCATGATATCGGAATTATGCTCCAAGATTGGCGAAAATACATGTTGTCACTTGGGAATGAAACTGCAACACTTAGCTCTGCTTCTTGGACGGTTCCTCAATCTTGCAGGTATTTTCACTGTCTTTTTTTATAGTAGAACATAACTTGATTGGTAAACAGTGTAAACATATTGGTTTAATATTTATGTTTGTTCCCAGAGGTTCGTTCCAAAGACCCCGTGCTCCCAAAAAACGTGGAAATAAGAGATGATCGTCTTGCCAAGGGAATTTCGTGAAGATTGGGGTAAAACCACAAGCAAATCAATTGTATCATTGTTGATGGTCGATGTGACGTAATGCCACGATCTTTGTAAAAAATTCAAAATGATATTGTTTCATATATTACATTCGCATAATCGTATATATTTCTAAAAAACGTCTTTACTTAGTTTTTATGGTATAGTTCGATGTGAATAACACCAATTTAGTTAAATATATTTTAATAATTCGATAACATATCCAAAATTTATTGCAAACTTGGACCATCTTATCAATTAATCCATTTATTTCATATACGAAAAAATACATCTATCAAACAATCATTTTCAAATGATTTTTAGGCTCTGATGTGTGAAACGTTGAGCCAATTAGTACAAAATATCATATATCGACCATAAAGGGTGTGTTTGGTGTCTAGACAGGACAGACAGAACAAAACAACTGTTCAACGTTTGATAAGATAAAATTTGATAGAACAAGATAAGTAAAATGACTAATTTACCCTAATGAGTTGCTTATTTTAATTAGTTTATGTAATTTTGTAAAATATAATAGAATAATTAATTTTTATAATAAAATATATCATTAGAAAGTTTTTGTCAAAACAATTAAAATGACACCAAATAAAAAGTTTATGTAATTTTCAATTTTTATTTTTATCTCTTTTCTTCATTATTTTTTATTACTAATATATAATAAAATACATAAATTAATAAAATATAGAAACCGTACAAAAATAATATTTTGAGGACGGTAAAATGAAAGTTTAAGAAACATAAATACAATAAATTTAAAGAATGAATAAAATGTGAATATGAGACCTATTTGACGTTTTATAAGAGAATTAAGTTTTATTTTGAGGTTATATTGGTAAAACAAAAGTCTGTTCCATCTTGTTCCATGGGGTAGGGGTGGAACAGACATGTTCCACTTTGTTCATGTATGTTCCACATAAAAGTCATGTCAAACATAAGACATAGATCCCTGTCTTGTTCTGTCATCTCTAGCATATTCTTCAAAATAAAGAAATCAAAAGTCAAAAATTTCAAAAAAAAATTTTATTTTCATCTTCAACAATTTTAGACATTATAATAGTAATTACATTATTAAAATATCCAATACAATTAATAAAATACTATTTATTCATACTAAACATTTAATTTCAAGATTTTTTTATTGCTAGAAATAATAAAAAATAATAATTTCTTTTTATCTAAGGGGTTGTTTGGCAATTGCTGAATGGTTTGGTGCAAAATGATTAAGTGGTCAGAATGATTAAGAGACTCTTATRATATAGTACAAAATGAAATATAATTGTTTGATAATTGTGTACAATGAAATTAGGGCTCTTAATGGTTAAGGGAGATCCAGGATACAAAATTATTCAGAGGGTTTTAGAACCATTAAGAGGCATATTTTTTTTTTGCCAAACAAGATTCACCTCTTAACGATTCAGATGTTGCCTCTTAATAGAACTATTAAGAGGTAAACAAACAATCCCTAAGTGATCAATTTTGGGAAGTTTTCAAAAGTTAGAGAATTTCATCCTTTTCCACATACTTTTTCCATTTCAGAGAAGATTTTGGATAATCTGTTGAAGAAAAATGCTCAAAATCTCTATTTTAAAGCATATCTAATAGATTCTTTAACATAAAGAAAATGAAGCTTTTATTCTCTAAATTTTTCCAACAGATTCCTTATCTGTTCTTTAAAATAGAGAAATCTAGACAACACTCAAAATATAGAGAATTCTGTAAAACTCTCCAGTGAGGAAAGAGAAATGTCATTTTCATGTTTTACAACAAGATTGATTTATTAGTTTTTTTTATAACGTTGTTTTTAAACGTATTATGATGTTGAAATTATTTTGAGCTTTTTATTATGTAAAATGCTCCAACAACTTTACTATCTTGTTTTTTAAAATAGAGAATCTTGGAGAAACTCTAAATGCGGAGAATTCTTTAAAACTCAGATGTTGGAAGATAGAAATGATTAATTTTTTAAATTGCACCAATGAGATTAAGTTATTAAATTTTTTATAATTAAAAAAAAGTATATTAGGATGGTAAATTAGAGAATATTATAATGATATAATTTATGTTAAAATCTCTAAAATAAAAAATTTGTTGGAGAATGCAACTTTTTTTAAAATTTTATATTTTGATTTTTTATTTTAAAAAAAATTACATTAAAAATACTTTAAATATGAAGATTTGGTCTTTGATTTTGGACAAATTGCATGAAAAAATAATGTATTTTAACTTGATTCTTATTTTACATAACGTACTTTCAAAACTTTCATTTTAATACTTAAGATGTAAAGTTTTAAATATTTAAATCACTGGGTAACCTGTTGAAGCATTAATCGGTTACCATACTGATGTAACAAGTGATTTCATATCCAAATCAATATTATTTGCTGATATGAATATGTTAATTTAACCGGTTAATGTTACAACCAGTTATCCCGAATGTTTAATTGTTTAAAACTTTACATTTTATGTACCAAATTATAAGTTTTGAAAATATGTTATCCAAAATAAAAATCAAGTTAAAGTATGTTATTTTTTTATACAATTTGACCTTTGATTTTGTATTTTTAAAAAAATATAATTTATTTAGTTAAGCATAGAAAGTCAAATATCCGATGGTGAAGCAGGAGGCTGTAAGGCGTAGCATGATTAAAGAAGCGCGCTTAAACAGTTACATAACTGTGGAAAGCGTATCTGTCAATTAACTTTCTAAAATTCTTCCCTTTTTCTTCTCTACGCGTCATCAACAGTTGTCTTCATTCTCTCTCAAATCACTCTTTGATCCATCTCTTTCACTCGCAACTTCTGTTTTCACTTCAATTTCGGAAATGGAGGCTATAAGAAAGCAAGCCACCAAACTCAGGGAACAAGTGGCCAAACAGCAGCAGGTAATAACACTAATCAAAACAACCCCTAACATTCATGAATCATGATTTCTTTCTGGTGCTAGTTTACGTGATTTTGTATCATAATTCTGGATTTCTTTTATTACCCTAAAAAGAGGACAGGTTTTTTGGTCCAAGTTTTAAAACCCTGTGAAAATTTTGTCTGTCGTTTGATTATTATGTTGATTTAGCGTTATTCTTCTAATTTGTATAAGTAATTTTGTGTATACTACTTTTGTGTTGTAGAAATGTATGTCTCCATGTGTGAAAAACTGTGGGAGTCAGTTTTGACTGGGGGACACGAGGTTCATATGATTTAGGTTGCATATGGCGAGATTGAAGCATTTATAAGCTATTGGATTATTTGTAATATGGGTTGTAGAAAATATTGAAGCTCAAAGTTATACATACTCCTGTAGAGCATCATTTGCAGTTCCAACAGTTCAGTGATTATTTAGGAGTAAGTTCTAGTTCATGGGGAATTATGAATAGTGCTTCGAAGTATTTTGTGTTGATGTAGGGTTATATACCAAGGGATGACAACAAGTCAATTCGGCCTCTGTTTTTTAGTATAACTGGGGCTAGTGACATGTTATCTGTGAAGGCCTTTTTATTGGGATGTTATATGCTTTGCTGAGCTGCTCAGCCAATTATTTGGATCACCTCTAACTTTTCCTGTTAGACCAACTTCTTCGTCTATGAGTAAAATGGTCAACATTCCACCTCAAAATAGATGTCTTCGTTTAGAGGGGGGGTGATTGGCCAAACAAATAATGTTGTTGATGATAAATGATTTTCCAGTTTTACTCTTATATATCTGGCAAAAATAATTGACCCAATTAGTTGTAGCCTCTTGGATGTGATAGAGTGTGTAGGAATGAAAGAATATGACTCACAACCAAGTCAATGTGACTGATCCACTATTGCTCGGTGTTCTTACCATACTAGCTGTACACTCAAATACTCAGTGGATGGTGGATTAGCAATGCCCCATTCAGCAAAGATCGTACTTGTGAAGCTGGTGTAAACTTTGTTTTGTTGATTAATCTCTATCTTCAGGTCTTCTCTTGTTGCTATTCCATCATCTTTGCATTTCATGTTCGAAGTCCTTCCCACCTTCCCATGAGGGAATCAAGGTTATTCTGAAGTTGGTGAAATGCCTTGGACCCTGGCACCCTGTTTTCTAGGTCCTGTTAATAGTGGATAGGACATTGTTCACTATGCAGTTCAAGAAGATTTATCTGTTCATGTGAGAGTCTGTGTGATCATGGTCAATTGTCACTCTTGTTCCGCCATTAGAACACAATTAAGGAACTAGATAAATATCAGATTTTAACACAAACATCACATACAACCACCATTAATGAAGACATATTGCAAACTTGACTGAGATGGAAAAACCTACAGGCTATAGATAAGCTTCACATCGCTAAGCAGATGTCATCACATGCTTGTTATTTTTGAGCTAACTTTTAATCAACACAACTCATTAAAAAGAATTTATCATTATTGGTGCGACTAACAATGTGTGATGTAGTTGGTAGGAGAAAAAATTCGAAAAGGAATTAGAGCTCTCAATGTATGTGAGAGTCTTCTTTTTGGCAGGCTGTATTAAGTCGACTGGGGAAAGATGCTGAAATATTTGATGACGAGGAACTTCATCGTCACCAAAAGCTTCAAGATCTCTATAGCTCTACAAGGGTAACTAAGGTATGCTTAACACCCCTTTCTGAAGGTTTTTTTGTTAAAGTCTTGTATCCAACACTCGATAATCAATGCATTTATGATGTTAATTACCACTTAATTTTCTTTATGTGTCAGCATTTCCAAAAGGACATTGTTCGTGGTGTTGAAGGTTTTATTTCAATAAGCACAAAGCAAATGCAAATGGGTGCGGGTTTGGTTATTTTTCCGTTTCTTTTTATTTTATGAAGTTTTTTTTCGTCAGTAGAATTTGTACTTCTGTTTAATTGAGTTTTCACAATTATTTGAAACATGAGACATTGCTTAGATAATCTTTTGGTATAGAAATTTAAAAGGGCTAGGCAATGCAAATGCATGTAAATACACATAACATGAGAGAGCAATGATGGGTACCTTGGACAATTGTGCTGCATGCCTTGTTAATTTGAGTTGGTCCTAATATAATGCCTCCCACATTCAGAAAACTAGCCTTTATCATTTAAACCTCTAAGCATATAATGGAAATTTTTCTATATTTGTTTGCCACACAGTACTATTTTTCAACAACAATAATAGACTATTATCCCATATTGGTTGGGGTGCCTAAAGTATGAAACAAAAAGAAGTTATAAGTTGTACTGTCACTCTATAGAAACAATAATAGTCTTCTATTCCATATTGGTTGTGTTTTAAGAAATTATCCTTCAACTTTGATCGAAATTTTTGATCGCACAAGACTTCAGAAGCTTGTTCCCTTTTCATCCACCTCCTCTTATCCTGTGACTAACATTCTTATCAATTTCTCCTTTGAGCATTGATGATACTCCCTCCATCAAAAAGGTAGTTTTGGTGCACTTTTTAATTTGAGACATCTCAAATTGATTGTATCCTTACATCTATGGATAACCATAAAATTTTATTCGTAAAAACTTAAACTGACTAGTAAATTTTCACCCTTATGTTTTGAAACCTGAATTGATATACACCATTAAACCCATTTCTGGACTAAATTTTCCGATGCTAATCATGAAATTAAGAGTTTGTGTGAAGACTTATGACTAATTGTGGTGAGCATGGAACCTAAGATCTTTTGATCAGTTAATTGGAAGGGATTTTAACTTACTCTTTTTCTTGTATAAGCCACTAATCTTGTGGCAAGATGCTCATCAATACCGCCATGTCATGGTATCCATGTCTAAGAAGAGAGAGGGAGGGACCAGTATCAGCTTTAAGGAATATTTCCAAATATGTATCAATACAACTTTGAGTCACAATATACTATTTTATTTCCAGAAGCAACATACAAACAACGTCTTGTATTTCAAAGTTTCATCTAGCTCTTAAATTTTAATCTCTTTTTACAACAAGATTCCTACATGGGGATCCTAGATTTTATATTAATGTTTTGACATGGTTGGGCCTTTTCTATGTTTCTTACAAATGGAAGATAAATAGTTTATGTTGGCATTTGTAGCAAAAAGGTTGGCTGAAGATTGTTGCAAATTTGGGACTGAGAATGTAAATGCTGGTTTTCCCCTTGCAAGGATTGCTCAGGAACTTGGAACTTCACATAGTTCTATGGAAGAGAAGAGGGAAACTATGCTTGAGATACTTAACAATCAGGTAGCTTCACTTTTATTCAATGATGATTATTGTGATGTCACATTAACATTGGAGAAAAGTAAAAAATTGACCATTTCTTATAATTTAATGTGTGCATTTGAATAGTAACTAATGTAGAAAAACTTTCTATCCTGACGTTCTCTGTTAAAGCATGGTTCTTCTTGTTTTCTCTTGCCTGAATGAAGGCATTGTCTAGAGATCATAAACCACTCAGAAGAAAATATCTTCACACCAATTTACAGTAAAAGATCTTGTATAGGCAGGGTAAGAGTCCCCCCCCCCCCTACAAAAAAATAGAAAAAAAATATTAAATAGAAATGGTTGTCTGGTAGATCCCATTGTGAAAACATCATTTTGTCTATTCATCCAAAAATATCATGGAGAATGTTTTCACATAATGAAAAGCTGGCATCTAGTGCACATTGGTATATTAAATTTTATGTGTAATAGCTGACTAGGACACTTCAACGCCACCCTGAGATTCAACTTGATCATCATGTAAAATGCTTTTATTATCTAATATGGATGCCACTTGATGGAGGTGATATATTGAAAATGTCAACATGACAATGGAAAGAAGCAACCACTTGAACACACTTCCATCCGACATTTAATGACCTTAACAAATGACAATGCTAGGTCTTCAAGCCACTAGCCACTGTGGCAGGACTAAAAGACTTATCCTGTTAAAGAGTGCTCATCTTAGGTCTTAGCAAGTGATTTATGCGCACACTTTAGCTAGTGAATTTCTCATTCTACACTCTTTTAAAAAAATTCATTGCACCTTTTGGTTTGTGGATCTCTTTGTACGACCGCGTTAGTTGAAATAGAATTCAAATGCACACTAGGAACTTGGTCTCTGCAATGTTTGATGGTGTCATGTTTTTATTTTTAGTAAATTAATTAGTACACACATCACACATTCTTACATATGTCTACGTTATAATGAGCTGATCCCGTGGGTTCCTTGTCTTTATGAAAATGCAGATGTTTATTGACCTCATTTTCTTGTAGGTATCTGGGCCACTAAGAGCATCAATAAGAGGATCTCCTTTGGAGGATGCTCGTCACTTGGCTCGGAGTTGTGACAAACTCCGCCAAGAAGTTGAGACACAGGTACTTTTGAGTTTGACTACGGAGATATATTGTGTTAAAAGTTGATTAAGATGAACTGTTTGGCCAGGCCGTGGAAGTATTAAGACGCCAAACAAAGGTCAGAGATCCTAGTGTAGAGAGCGCCTTAAAACTCAGGAACATGGAAAGTAAGTTGAGCAAGCTTAGATCTTCCATGGTAACACTTCAGAAAGAAGCAATCTCTGCTATGTTGTCGGTGGAGGAACAACAACAACAAATAACCTTGCAAAAGCTTGTTATGATGGTAAATGTTATAGTTACCAGACCATAGATGATTCATTATTTGGTTATAATATGATAATTATAATAGGTTGTCCAGAAATTATGTGGTATGATCATTTTATGAGTTAAAGACTAAAGAAAACTTTGGCGCCTTTTCTCTGCAATCAAGCATTTATTGTCTGTCTTATCATTCTAAAAAGTTCATATACGTCCACGCTTTTACCCTATGGAGAACTTTAGTTTTGAGTCAACTGTTATTAAGACTGAGAAATTGTCCAAACTCATAGGTGGATACTGAAAGATCTTATCACCGCGATGTTTTGGCTATCCTAGAGGAGCTACATGCTGAGGTTCGTCATTATGTATCCTATTTCCATTTTCATTTCCATAAACATTTGGTTCTTCATAGCCTACCATTTTTTTTTTGCATTCTTAACTATTTATCTAAGAATTAGGTTAACAAGCAAGCATTTTTTTTATCGCTAGCAGATGATTTTGGTGATGCATATACAAGATTCATCTCAATCTGCTGCAGAGAGAGATATTTTTGTTGCATCTGGGGATGCCACTCAATGTGTACATGACAAGCATCTGAACAAAAATCAAGATTATGACTATTTTATTGGAAAGGTAAAGCTTGTGTACTGTTTATAGGAGCCATGCCTGCATGTTTATAATCTAACTCAATTTTAGTTCATGTTATGAATAAATTTAAAAAGCTTGTCATAATCACTTCTTTCTTGCTACTTTTTCTGGACCTGCAGTAATCTGTATTGTTGTTTTTACGCTCCTTTTAGTCCTTAAATGAGGATGATACTATATTCTTGTTGTATAGCATGTTAAGAAAAATAGAACTTTAGGCTCCATTCGTTTAACCATTCCCCATTTTCAGTTGTGGGTCCTATTTCCATGATATGAGAATCAACGTAGGTTGACTCACAGAACGGAGATGAGGAATAGAGAAACATACAACAAAGCCACGAAACCTCATTTTGTATGATAATTGGCACATAATCTCTCTCATTATTGTTTATCTTATATGTAATATAACACGTTTCTTTCATCTTATTAGGTCATTCATCCGTTTGATGCTCAAGCTGATGGTGAGTTGAGCCTAACCGTTGATGATTATGTTATAGTTCGCCAGGTATTCCTCCGCTAATACCTTAGTATTAGGAATGCATTCTTTTGGCAACTCTTACCACTAAGGCTATTTATTTGGCGAATGTGCTTTATTTTCCGACAATATTAGATTGATGTTACTATTAAAGCTCGTTAACTACAAATATGTCAAGAAAAATATTAATTTCTTGCCAGAAAGTAGGATTTATGACCAAACATGATAAAAAAATCAATTTATTGGAGGTCTGGTCTTTCTACATTCCATTTCTCAGAGGCTCAGACCCCACCTCCTAATGAGATAAACTGGGTTAGGGGTCGTTTACCAAACACTTACCCGGTAAACGTTTATCGGTAAAATTTAACACTATCACTTACCGGGTAAAACTCTTGGTCTTTGCTTTGCTCTAACTCGGTAAGATTATTGGTCCTTATCATATTCATCCAATAAGGTAACGTGACTTGGTAAACGCTTACCTGAGTTTTTGGTAAACGGCCCCTTAGTTTGGTTTATAAAACAATACTGCATGTATAGCAGATGTATCATGCATGTTACATTCTTTTGTGGCGATGCACGGACAAATATATTGTGTTCCATTTCTGTTTTGTGTAAGAATATGTCAGAACCCATTAGATAACTTTCCAGAAGAGAAGAGAGGTTCCAATATATATTAAGCAAAAATGGTTTAGTCTAGCAGATGTGGGACTCTGACATTGTGTTTGATAGGTGTCTCCTAATGGATGGTCTGAAGGTGAATGCAACGGAAAGACGGGGTGGTTTCCTTCGGCATATTTGGAAAGGCAAGAAACACAAAAAAAAAGGTAACTAGTTGCTTCTGGAAATGTATATTACATAGCTAATATTGCATTAGTTGTATGTATGTATGTATGTAATTTTGGCTACATGTATATGGGAATGATGAAGATGATCCTGTACAGCTTCTGAAAGCTTTCACCCTGCTACGCGTTTATGGGTTTTTTGATTGGTTTGTTTCACAATACGACGTGATACAATCGTTGTATTCGATATTTACCAAGTAGAAGCTGCTTGTGAGGAGCATCGGTATCGTAAGATGTTTTGAATTGTAACGGTCTTTGGTTTGGAAATGCTTATTGAGTTCATGGTGATATTGTGTTCATAAAGATATGTAGAACCGAACCAATAAAGTGCTAATCGTAGTCGTAGACCTGTGTTTTTGGTAAACAGTCGCCCGGGCCTGGTCACTGCGACCCCCTTTGTGAGGAGGCACCTTTCAGTGCCGGCCGCGAGAGCGGTACCAAATCGAGGCCAAGAAAGGGGGACAACGGGTAGGAGAAATGGAGGTGTGAATGTTTCAACACATAACACATCATTATAATTAAACATATATAGTTGTTAGAGATGGTCCGAAATCCTAATTAAGTATTTATAATCAAACAAAACATTTAGACGTTACTAGAAGAGTACTCGCGTAATCCAGCGAGACACATCTTGATTTTAATGTTCTATTTTATTATTTGTCTCTGTCGATGTTATAATACGATTTTATGTAATTTTAAGAAATCAATAATGATTTTATTTTTGAATAAAATATAAATTTGAAGATATTATAAAATTTTGAAAAACAAAATATATCAATGTTAATATCAAATCAACTACTTTTTTATGTAATTTTTTTATTAT